CTCGTCGCGGCTTGAGCACCTTCCCCCCATGAGGGGCGTCATGCCTCATTCTCCCTTCCTTTGCTGTGGGGCCACTCCTCTCTATCTCCCCATCATCCTTTCCCACTCTTTCGAACTTTCTTTCCCTGCTTGTGCTGCCGCCACCGCCAGCCTGAACAATATCGCTTCGTCACTCACTTCCACCACATCCATACTTCTTCGTAACTCCCTCCCATTACATCACACACCCACACGTTTCCCTCCCAGGCGCCCGGTCCCGACCTTCCCCCGCCGTCGGTGCCCGGGATCCTGCTTGTCGATTGAGGCTTCAGGCACGTCGCCCTGACCCCTTCCCCTCCCCTCCCTCGTCCACTCCTCGCCTTCGCTCCTTCCCTCCCTGCTTCCCTCCTTCCTTCCCCCCCTCTCCCTCCCTTCCCCTCCTCCATCATCCGCGGGTGGCGATCCAGCCCAAGATGATGAGGAGGGAAGGGGGGAAGAGGGGAGTCAGGGCAGGGGAGCAGAAAGATGGAAATCGAGAAAAAGGCAGGGAAGTGTACCGAGGGGGATGGGGAAAGCGTCATACAAAGATTTGAAGGCGAGAAGTGACCGTCATTATCCAATCCGTCCAACAAGGACCCCGACACACCGAGGGCCGGGGAGCCGGGGGGTCGAGCGAGGAAGGAGAGAGGGAGGGAAACAGGGGCGTCGACCAGGCAAAGAAGAAGCAGACCCGCGTCCTTCAAATGCCCGCCACAGGAACTATGTCGACGTCGGCGTCTTCCTGCCTTTAAAACGGCGGGAAGAACAGGCCGCCTTTCTTATCTGTCCTCTTTCCTCGTCTTCTTGGGCGCCGGGGCTGGTTCTGCCCCCTTTTGAGATCCCGAGGCCGCAGGCGTCGGGCTGCTCTGGTCTTGTTCCTCGCCCGTGTCTTCTTTTTTCTCCCGCTTCATTTTAATGCCGCTCCACACACCTGTGCCTTGGAATTCGTCCTTCACGCCCGCCGCGTAAAGAGCGCCGTCGAAGGCACTTTTTATGGATCAGTAAATGACCATGGTGGGCGCCTGATGCGCGGAGGGAAAGAAGTGAGACATAAGAGAGAGGGGAAAGGGTGAGGCATGATTGATTACCCATGCGCAGTCAAGGGCGAAAATGCCAAAAGCATACCTCACGGGTACGATGCGTGGGCGTGGAGGAGGAAGGGTTGAGAGGGAGAGGTGCGCGGGGCACCATAAATGCCTGAGTTGTCAGGACTGACATGGCCATTGTGGCCAGCGCCAGCAGGAAGGTGGAAAACGGGCTCCGCATGGTCCTCGTTCTACCGTCACACGACTAAAAATTGCAAGGAAGGGAGAACTACGCGTGAGAGGCAACAGGTACAACAACTGCGGGAGATGATTATGGTGATGGCATTGGGTGGTTTGCGGCGTATATGTTGGGCACAGGAAGCTTGGATTTAGATCATGGTGAGAGCTAGTAGTTGTCAGCCTCATCATATATCTCGTCTGAAACCAGCGTGCCGCCCAAACCAGCTCTTTTGCCTTCCCACGAACGAGACAGCAAACCACCAAACACTCGTGCGTGCCAGGTCATGGGTTATGGGAGACGGGCGGTGCGTAATGCCGCGAAATGGCGTTCAAGCGATCTAGACAATGAAATGTGACGGCGCTCCACACGTTCACTGCTCAGACCCTTACCAAGTCGAAACAAAGAGGTTTCCATGGGGCGTGGCAACCGGGGGAAACTCTGCCCACCATATCGGCAAATGACGGTCAGGAAGGCACGTTTAAATGAAATTCCGACGTATCTGCATGGGGACACGCTTCTTTTTTTCCTCACATTGGTATTTATGGTGTACGCCATTCCGTGAAAAACGGGCATGGGCCATGCTTACATTCGACTAAAACGCCTCGTACTCTGATTTTTGATCCAACACGTGTCCATGGGTGATGCATCAAGTTGGTAGAATATATTAGGATAAATCTTAGCTTCGTTGTAATGTATAGTTGTGGGGGCCATGTGGGTTCTTGACCTTCTTTGGGGTGCCGAGATGGCTAAGGAGGAACGCGGGGAACACGAGTAAAGGATAAACTTATGGAATATCTTACATGGATCGAGGTTTCAATATTCTTTGCCTATTGGCATGGCACCGTTACTTTCTTGTCATAAGGCTTATCTTGCTTCCATCTTTAAGACCTTTCCATTCGCACAGCTTCGTCTCCTCCCCTTCCATACACCCTTTGAACAGCAGCCTCTGCCGCTCGGGACGAATGCCTGTAGCGGAACAGACACGAGCTTTCAAGTCCCCAATACACACGGAGGGCCACTCGTGGACGAGGAAAGCAATGGGGTGGGAGACGGAAGATCCTTGAAGCACGTGCACTGTGATGGTCGGCGGGGAGGCTCCGTTTGTGTCCGTCGATGGAAAGGGCGGCGGAGAAGCGGGAATAGGGGGAAAGGAGGCCACGCCTGGGCTATCCTTGCTCACAACGCCCCCTGGCCCGGCGGCCGAGGTGCTCTGTGGCAGGCCCTGCACTGCTGCGGTTCGCTCCGTCGCATCCACACCCTTCCTTGCACCTTCCTCCTTCCCCCCCGGCTCGCCTTGCCCCTCCTCCCTCTTCTCCTCTTGTCCTTGTCCTCCTCCTCTTTCCTCAGCCTTGTCTTCCGCGTCGGCTTCCTCCTCCCCCTCGCCCGGGAGGAGGAAGAGCGTCTCGCCCTCGTCCAGGACACCCCAGGAGGCGAGGTCGTGCAGGGAGCGACCGAGGTAGCGACGGAGGGAGTGGCCCGTGCGTTCGTTCAGGAAAAAATAGGGCGGGGAGGACGGGAAGTGGGACGGGGAAGCGGGCTGGA